ACAACTTCAGATTTAATTATTAACTAACTTTATATGTAATTTTTTCTGGTTCATTTGCCTTAAGGAAACACTTTGGAACCTACCTGTTTTTATTTACAGCCTAAATTTATCCATAACCACCATTTTGAAAAGAGGAACGTATTTAAAATAATTATTACAGTACGATGGAGTTTTATTTATAAATTCCAAATATCAGGAAACAAAAGTAATTATTTTGCAAAAATTTTCCGTCTATTCATAAATTTTGTTATAGAATTATTTCAAAATTACTAAATAATTTCATAAATGACATAAAAAGGTAAAAGATTAAACTGGCAACGAGATAAAAATTGCAATATTGAAAAATGTTTCATAATTGAACAATTTTGATACTAATGAACCCTCGTGCTAACTTTTCCATATAGGTACGTACTGGAGATAGAAATGTTGAAAAGGAAATAGCTTTTTTATAATATGGTGCATTTTTTCTAAATTGTAATAACGATTATTTTACTACCACCTACTTCATTAACTTCATTAGCAGATAGAAGACATACATTTGATTCAAGATTACTCTCGGAGCGATAGTTTTTTATCCCGCTAGAGGGCGCTATAATCAAGAGTAACAGAATGAAGATCTCATAATGCTGATACATGATGATACTTTCCCTATTTAAATTGTATTCGTTAGAGTGAAGAAGGGAAGGGGAATGACATTTGAGGATATGATAAGAAGAATCATAAGTAGACGTGTGTCTAAAATGTTGACGCAGTTTCGGATAATGGCTGTTTTAATATCTAAAATCAAATGAATCCCTTTTTTTCCAGAACGTACATATGAATTTATTAACAGCGCAAAAGTGCGTTTTGTGTTTATACAAACAAAAATGTGTTACAAATCATCTAATCATTATTTTTCTACTCTTTGGGCTTACGGTAATATTTAATTTCTTGCTCTAGGTACGTTTCTGCAATTATTATTAGGAGATAAACGTTTTTCTTTATTCCTCTCACATTATATATCAGGTTTCTTTACGCTCTAGCTCTGTGAAGCTGGCCCCCCGAAATTCGAAAATTTTAGTTTCAAAAGCGGCATACATTTAACCACCTATTGACCATTTTTACCCACCCACTAACTTTTTTTGACCACCCTCAGACTAACCAGTTTTTTACCATGTTTGAACACCTCTTAGATTTTTTAACACCCCTTAATATAATTTAAAGGGGGTAAATTATAGAAAAACAAGAGTTCTGGGATGAATTTCAACTTTGGAAGATATATCAATGGTCATGAAGGCACAATAGGATCCAAAAACGTTAAAAATTATGTATTGCCGTTTGATCACTCCCTAAAATATCTTAAAAGACCCCAGAGGGGTTAACAACTCAAAGAAAACATTTTCCAATCCAATTTCTAGTTCAACAAAATGGTCAATCGACATAAGGATATAACAAATATCTATAAGGGTTTAAAATTACGTTTTGACGTTTGACCACCCTCTAAAATAATTTTAGTGTTTCTGAGTAGTGTGAAAATTCGACAAATACAATTTGGAAAGGGCATTTTGACTTGGCAAAAATTATCAAACGACATAAGTACATAATAGAGATCCATACTAGTTTAGAATTAAGTTTTGACGTTTGACCATCCCCTAAAATAATTTTTAAGTGCCCAAGTAGTGTGAAAATTCAAAAAATAAAATTTGGAAATCGAATTTGGGCTTAAATTCTAAATTCATTTTACATGTACCTTTAAGATACCGTAACAATCTTTTTAATTCTATCCATACTTCTTCTAAATTAACATCTTGTAAAACTAATATCTGGACGTGATCCTAACATTAAATACATGAGGTTACAATTTTCAAAAATCAGAAAAATATTTCTTATTGTTCACTAGATGATCCGTACATCCTGAGTCTATATAAAACAAAATATTACTTACCTTATTATCTAAGTTCTTTTAGTCTGGTCATAAAACAAATACCCTTATTTTCAACGTCCTCTTCATTTTGTACAAAGTTCCCTTGTGCATTTTCATCCCTGTTTCTTTCATTTTGATGCCCATTTCCTCTATAATTGTAGCTACCTCTGAAATTACCTCTGAAATCAACTCTATAACCTCCTTTGTAATTTTGACCTCTGAATCCTCTATTTCCAATAAAACCTCTATTGTTTCCAAATGTTCCTCTACTATGACCTCGAAAACCACCTCTATACACATTTCTGCTCCTACATTCTCTTTTGTAGTGTCCTCTTCCTCCACATATAAAACAAATTCCTTCTCTATTGGCGACTGTAAAGGCTGCTGGCTTAATATTCTTCATTGCTGTCATTATTTACTCTTTTCTTCTTTCAATCTCACTTTTTAATTTTGTTTTCGCGATTTCAAATGTTAAGTCCTCACTATTCATATTTTCTAATATTGTAATTACAGTTTTAAAAGCTGGAGGCATAGCAAGAAGTAACGTACATACTAAATCTTCATCCTTAATTTTAGCTCCTGTTACTTTGAGTTGTCTAACAATTTCTTCGAATTCGGACAAGAAATGCTCTAATTCATTTGGCTTTTGCAGTTTCATGGTCATTAATTTTTTTCTTAGAATCATCTGCCCCGGAATGCCCTTCTTTTCATACCTTTCTTCTAAGCTTCTCCACATGCTAAAAGCTGTATTTTTATCTGAAATCGAGTTGACCATCATCCAAACATTGCACAATGAACGATTTGCATTTGTTATCATTACTCTTTACTTCTTTCTTCCTTGCCTCATTTTCATAGTTTTCTTCTTTATATTCGCATTTAATACTTTGTAATACATTTTTTTCTTCAAATAGAACATTCATTCTGAATTTCCATGTATGGTAATTGTTCGAGTTAAGTAATTCTATATTAAAATTACCTGTTGTAATTGTTGTCATACAGGGTATAACATTTTAGGTGATGAAAAATAAAAATATCTTGATAAAACTTAGTTTTCATTAAAACTTCAACAACACTTGATCGATCCTCAATTTCAGTACACCGATGTATTTGGGATTAAATTCCCTTTAAAATTATGTATCACAAGTAAGTAGTCCCATTGAAAATTTTGAAGTAGGGGTGTTGGGGATGAGGGGGTTGACAACACAATGATGATGTATTTGGTGAAAATGTTCCCCCTTGAAATAAAAATCGACGGGTCTGAGCGATTTTCATTTTTTTTCACGATTTCGGAGATTAGGAGGGTGACAAGTTTTAGCTGGGACACCCTGTATTAATATGCAGTAGATCACCTATATAACGTTTATTTAATAAAGATAATGAATACGAATGCAGCGTTCTAATTATTATTAATACCAGAGACAATCATTCTTTATCATCTACATCAGAGACACATAAACAACCTTCTTCGTCTCTTTTGACATCTGACATTTGACATTATATTTATCTTAGATCGTCAATAACTAGACTTGAACTTAATATAAGGTAAAAGGAAAGGATTACTTATAAATAAAATGGGTTTATAACAACATGTTTTGATGTTTGATTACCCCTATAATAGTTTTAATGTGCCCAAGTAGTGTCAAAATTCGAAAAATTAAATTTGGAAATCGAATTTCGGCTTGGAAAAATGGCCAAACGTGAAAATTCTAAAAATAAAATTATTTTAGGGAGTGGTCAAACGTCAAAACATATTTCTAAATCGTTATTGATCTTCATTGTAAACTTATGTCGTTTGACCATTTTTTCCAAATGGAACTTTGGTTTTAAAATTATATTTTTTGAATTTTCATACTACTTGGGCACATTAAATTTATTTTAGAGGATGGTCAAACATCAAAATATAATTTTAAATCGTTATGGATTTTTATTTTGTACTTATGTCGTTCGACCATTTTTTCCAAGTCAAAATGCCCTTTCCAAATTGTATTTTTTGAATTTTAACACTAATTAGAAACATTAAAATTATTTTAGGGGGTGGTCAAACGTCAAAACATAATTTTAAACCCTTATGGATATTTATTATGTCGATTGACCATTTTGTTGAACTAGAAATTGGATTGGGAAATGCTTTCTTTGAGTTTTTAACCTCTCTGGGGTATTTTAAGATTTTTTAGGGAGAAATCAAACGGCGATACATAATTTTAAACGGTTTTAGATCCTATTGTGCCTTTCTGACCATTGCTCTAACTTTCAAAGTTGAAAATCATCCAGAACTCTTGTTCTTTTATAATTTACCTCCTTTTAATTATTTTATGGAGTATTAAACAAATATAAATGGTGGTCAAACATGTTAAAAAATTGGTTAATCTTATGGTGCAGCCAGTTTTAAAAAATACTAACTTCGGGGGACCAGCGGGCACTCGGCCATTAATATTTTTTACAAATATTTAAGTTTCTGGGGGGGGGGTCAAAAAAAGGTAGTGGGTGGTCAATAGGTAGTCAAACGTATGCCGCTTCTAAAACTAAAATTTTCAAATTCGCTTTACGTTCTCGTAGTTTTGTAATCTTAATAATATATTAGTAATTACAGATTTAAAAAAGAGAGTAATCTAGAATCACTTTTTCTTCAGTTTTCTATAGAAGTTACCGAAGTGGTGAAACATCCCGTATTTATTATCTGCCGTATGAAAAAGATAAATCCAGTATAACGCTTCGCATTCCTCAAGCTTCGCGCGCTTTTTTTATATATACACACAGAGCCGGATGCATGTCAAAATTTGCTTTGAAAATTCATTTAAAAATATTATATCTGCGAGCTGACGGACAAATAATTTTTTTCTTATTTGATCTCGCAACATCCTAGCAACTCAATTACAGCGACTTTTTTTTTGTGTCTAAAAATAACGTTTTTTTTGCGATAAATGATGTCGTTCTTTTCGCATTTTGCTCGTTTAATTATTCGAAGAGACAGAATTCGAGCGGGCACAATGCGAGGATGATATATAACTTGTTTCGTTTTTTTTTTTTTGTTAATATTTTTTGTTCGTCGTATCAAATTCTTTGTACTAATTTTTGTATTCTTTCTTTTTAATTTCAGATGGACATGAAATCTGTTGGATCGTTTTACTATGAAAATTTTGTAAGTACTAGAACTAAATGCGAAATAAAATACAGTGTCCATTTATAAAGTATCAAGTTTTAATAATTATATTACGATTAAAGAATGGAAAAAATATCTTTATATTTTTGTTGGCATAGTTACCAATGTTTTAACATTCTGTATAGAGCACTAAATTGTTGGAACCAATATTTTTTAAAAGAAGAATTCGTTCTTGACTTGTAAGGCATTAATGTGACACTTTATAGATTGATTACTTTTTTAATCCAATTTTTTAAATCAAGTTTTATAACTTGTAAGATATTTACTTTTCATGCAATAATAGTTATTCTCTCGAATGTCCCATGAAAATACGAATTTTTTAGACGAAATACAAACAACATTTTTTGTACAACTGTCAATGTGAATTTACATCGTCTTAAATATATTTTTTTGTTCCGATAAATTATCGCTTTTAAACGACATTTGAAAATATTATTTAATGTTTTCAGTAAAATCGTATTCGAAAATAAATCCAAAATAACTAAATAATACTTCTCTTTTCCATACATGTTATCCTTAATGTTCTCATTACTTCCAATACAATTTCACAGCATCTAGTGATCTTTCTGTGTCGTTACTATACAGTGCTTTTCAGATAAAAGTATCCACCTTAAGTAACTTTTGAAGGACTGATTATTACAAAAAACAAAAAAATACGTCAATTAATATTCGAAGGGGGAGATATCGTGCCATATTTAAGTTTGCTGAAAAAGTCACCCTTTCACCCCTACTATCATCCCTTCAATTTTTTTAAATGGCTTCCCCCATTTTTTTTATCCATTTTTAGATTGTTCTCGTTTAACTGATTTCAAAAATGTATAAAACATGGGGTTTAAAATAATTAGTTTATGATCTACAGGGTTCCATTATTTGAGTGACAAATTTTTACATCTCACCTTACTGACTGCAGCAAAATTGGATTTAGAATACATTATACCTTAATCGTACCGCTAAAAACTTGTTGAAGTTTTTTATAATGCATGGTAAAGGTATTGGAGATTTGAAAAATGAATTTAAATTACTTTTATAGTGTATTTTGATACATGTGCACATTGATTTGTTGAGGTTATTTATTTGATTTGAAAATGGTTTACAGTTTACAAGAAAGAATTGAACTTGTAGGTTTATACTACAAAAATAACAGTTCTGCACGAGCTGCTGCTAGAATTTTCAACGAAACACACCAAGGAGGTCATGCAACTCATAAGTATGTTTTTGAAAGAGTAAAACCAAATTTGGTAGATTTTCACACTTTTATTTTAAAAATAATTTTTTTTTTTTTTTTTTTTTTAAACACTAACATGACATATGTTTCGAAGTACAACTTCTTTTTCAAATGTGACTATTTACAATTAGGTATCCAATATATATACGAAATAATTTAACAAAACAAAGTACTTAAGAAAACATCAATAACATTACAAAATAAACTAACTATTTAAAGTAAATAAGGGTACTTAGGTAATTATAATATCCATCAGATAACAATAAGATTACCGGGATTATCTCACAGAAAACTGGGAAAGAGATTTAATAAGGGTGAATTATTAATATCTAATTGATCATTTAGTAAGTTATCTGAATTTTTAAATCTATTTATTTCAAGTGTTTCTAAATGGTTTATTTAAGGCTCTTATTTTCTACATGTAAAATTTCAAAGTTGTCTGTAAAAGAATGATTTTCAGCTAAAATATGATTTGAGTAAGTAGAATTATTTTTGTTTTTTGTATAGCTATTATAATGTTCGGAATAGCGTTTTTTGAAAGTACGGCCTGTTTGACCAATATACAATTTTGGACAACTACCACAATTTAATTTATATACCCCCGATTTATTATTAGGATTGCTTGCTTGTTTGGGGTTCTATGACTGCAATTTTACCCTTATTGTTTTTAATATACTTCCCAAGCGTATTATTGGTTTTAAAAGCTACGTTAATATTTTGGTTTTTTAAATATGATGATACCTTTTCACTAGGAGCTCCTATATATGTAAGACTCTTATATCTGCAATTTGGATCTTTAATTATGGGATAAACTTGTTGAATAGCCTGTTTAAAAAGTTTTTTCTCTAAAATGTTGTCTACTAACTTTGAATTAAAATTATTATTTACTGCGATTTGTTTAATGATATTTAATTCTTTAGTGAAGTTCTCTTTGGTAAGGGGAATATTAACTAATCTATGGATCATACTATTGTATGCTGCCAGCTTTTGTTTGTATTTAAAAATTCAGATAACTTACTAAATGATCAATTAGATATTATAATTCACCTTTATTAAATCTCTTTCCCAGTTTTCTGTGAGATAATCCCGGTAATGGGCTATCTTATTGTTATCTGATGGATATTATAATTACCTAAGTACCCTTATTTACTTTAAATAGTTTATTTTGTAATGTTATTGATGTTTTCTTAAGTACTTTGTTTTGTTAAATTATTTCGTATATATATTGGATACCGAATTGTAAATAGTCATATTTGAAAAAGAAGTTGTACTTCGAAACATATGTCATGTTAGTGTTTTTCTAAAAATTTTTATTTTTAAAATAAAAGTGTGAAAATCTACCAAATTTGGTTTTACTCTTTCAAAATTAAATGGATTTTCATCAAGTAAAGGTCGAAACAATAAATAATTCATAAGTATGTAATTGATCTTATGCATAAATTTACATCAACCGGGTCAGTTGGCAATAAAAAACATAACCGACTGGAACTCGTAAATAACGAAGCAATTGAAGTCGCAATTTTAGGACAAGTAAGTCTTGAAAATCAACAAGCATAGTCACTGACAACAATAAGCAGAGAAGTAGGTGTTTCATCTTCCACAGTTTATCGAATATTACACAAGCATAAGTACCATCCATACAAAATTAAATTGGTTCAAGAGTTGTATGAGGATGATTTTGATCGTCGTCTTGAATTTTGTGAACTATTGAGTCAGCGCTTGACTGACAATCCACATTTGTTGCACAACCTTTGTTTTTCGGATGAATGCACATTTTCAGTTAATGGTTTAGTTAATAGACATAATTGCAGATATTGGGCTGAGAGTGATCCACATGTTGTGCGTGAATACCACACACAGAATCCTCAAAAGTTAAATGTATGGTGTGGTATCCTAGGTGACCACATAGTCGGACCTTTCTTTTTAGACGAAAACTTAAATGGAGAGTCATATCTTGAGTTATTGAGATAAGTAATTGATCCACGTAACAATAATAGAAAATGATCATAATCTTTCTGAAGATTTGCTTGTCTTTCAACAGGATGGAGCGCCTCCACATTTTGCTTTGCCAGTACGACAATTTTTAAATGAAACTTTCCCCAATCGTTGAATAGGTAGAAGAGGCTCGATGATGGAGTGGCCACCTAGATCACCGGATTTATCACCTCTAGACTTCTTTTTATGGGGCTATTTAAAAACAAAAATTTATTCTACCCAACCAGAATCTTTAGAAGATTTACGACAAAGAATAGAGTATGAATGCCTACATTTAAATGCACACGTGTTCGGTAATGTCAGGGAGGCTTTTCAATCTAGGTTATACCATTGTATGGAAGTAAATGGTGGACATTTTGAACAATTTTTGTAATAAATTTTGAAAATGAAATATTCGTTTTGTCATTGGAAACGCTTGTGACAAAATCATTAAAATAAAAGTTTTGCACAATTCAATTTTATTTTAATTTAAAATTCTGTAGATCGTAAACTAATTGCTTAAATCCCCATGTTTTATACATTTTTGAAATCAGTTAAACGAGAGCAATCCAAAAATGGATAAAAAAAATGGGGCAAGCCATTTAAAAAAATTGAAGGGATGATAGTAGGGGCGAAAGGGTGACTTTTTTAGCAAACTTAAATATGGCACGATATCTCCCCCTTCGAATATTAATTGACGTATTTTTTTGTTTTTTGTAATAATCAGTCCTTCAAAAGTTATTTAAGGTGGATACTTTTATCTGAAAAGCACTGTAGAAACGGTTTGTTGCCATCCTTTAAAAAGTAATATTTCATGTTTATTTTGTGAATTATTTTAGCAATGAAAAAAAGTAAACATTGACGCATCAATAGAGATGCAGAAATATCAAGTTTTTTTGACAGTTGTACAAAAAATAGTTTTTTATAACATTAGTAACGTTTTTGAATTAATACTATTATGTTATCAATTTGTTGGTTATATGGGATACCACAACGATCTCATCTCATTGGCCTATACTGCCGTATTAAGTATCTGTATCTGCATTTTCAAAAGTTTCAAGAAAATCAGGAAAAAGTGTTAATCTTTTTACCATCGTAAGTATTATTATTTTGGAAATCAAAGTTAACAAGTTGTATAATATTTTTTTCATAGAATTTGAATTATAGACTTGTTTTTTTGCAAATTTAGGGCTTAATGTTTTTGTTAGTTACGACGATTTTTTTTTAAAATGAGAAACTAAAATATTAACATGATCAGTCGTAAGTGACCATCTACTGTATAGAAAAATTACATTACTTCGAGTTAAATGTTTATTATAACATCAGTTTTTTTAATTTTTTCAAATATGGGTCTTTGAAATAAGATATGTTTAATTCCCAGGAGCCCAAAAACTAATAAACTACTCTAAACAACATTTCTAATTCTAACAACAAAAACACTTATGCCTAATAAATTCACAGCAATATTATGTCAACTGAGATTTTTGATCATTTAATCAATAATATTAAAATCTGAGTATTCATATGATTGAATGAATATGTAATCCAAAATCGTATAATTAAAATTATCTACAAAAAATAACCAGCATTATCCTACCTCTCTTTTATATAATAAAAATTGCTCTGTATAAGAACATTATAGGTTTGTTCCAACAACAATCTTAGAACCATACACAAACTAGTCCACGACCTGTCGAGGATTGGGTCTGAATTCGGAACTTGGTTGTGTTGGAACACGTTTCTATTGTCAGACATACTCTGTCAATAACGTAAAATTAAAAAAAAAATAACAGATGTTAGTAAATGTTGGTAAATAAAAAATTGTAAAACTCATTAAAAGATTTATAAATTTTGAATATTCTATTGGTTAGTACATTAAACTTTATTTATTTTAATTTTTTACCGTATCTAAGTCAGAATAGTAGCCTTTTTCACTTTCTACTCATTACTCATCTTATTATTAATAAGTCAACAGATGCACGTAAAAAATTATGTGTACTATAAATAATGATAATGAATGATAATCAAATTACGATCGATGTTATCAAAACGAATATAATCACATTTCCAGGGTTATTCATGATTGATTTACGAGCTCACTTTCATTTTGCGCATGTCTTGACAGTTCGATCCTATTCAGACCCAGGAACTGATTTGACAGTACAAAAACTTGTTTGTGATTAGGTTTGAGTGTGTTGGAACACTAGATTTTTGTACAGTTTTGGGTCCGAGGTCTCGTTGGAACACCAAATTTAGCCTGCGCAGAATCCTGACAGTACGTAAACCGATTTGCTATTGTGTTGGAACAAACCTTATATTATCTGTCTTGCTGTACCTTTATTTATGGAAAGCCTGAATTGATACACTACAGATTATTTGCAATAAATATCAAAAGAAGCATACATTTTTAAAAAAATTGACATGTAAGAGCCATTCGCACATCACAGTTGATATCTTGATACTTGACAGGCACAGCCAGGCATTATTCTGAATTTTGCCAAATAAAATGGTCGGTTAATTATTCTATGGGTTTGCGACAGAGAGTTAGTAAATTTGATGGTGTTTTGGCTAGGAGCGAAATAGTAGTACGCACCACTATAAAAAAAGTCATTTTTAAGAAACTGCTTTTATATTTTTCATAAATAGGCAGGCTTGGCGACTAATTTCGAATAAAAATAGTCTCCAAAATGGCAAGTATGAAGGTCACAACCCGCCTTAGAAATTTTACTTTTACTATCAACAGATGTTTGACAGGTCGTTAGAGAATGTTTGCAATTTATGGAATGTAAAGAATGTTAGGAATGTTGACGTTAGAAATAATTGGAATTCCTAAAATTGTCACATAAGAAATGCATAGGCGGATTTTAAGAAAATTGATATTAAAGTAGTTAGGATGAACCGAAAATTCTGAAAATCAATTGGTTTCTAAGTTAGGTAATTATTCAAGAAAATCAAAACCGCAAGTCAATCAGAATTTTCATTTTAGAGTTATCGTGCCGGCATACATACACACAGACGACCAGACAAAAAATTATGATCGGAAACAAGAAAAAAGTTTTAAAAAATGGGGTTAAGAAAATGTTTTCGTCTGCACGAATGCAATACTGAGGCCCCATAGGAAGGGCCTCAGTAATAACTTAAATTAACTAAGATATTCTACAATTGTGGTTTCGTCAAAAGTTTCTACAATACCTAGTATTCTTTGTGCAGTCCTTTTTTTTTTTGTGGAGGTGCTCCTGTTACGTACTGCTCCATTCTTAAATGGTTTAATGTGTTGTTCTCTTTTTACGGCGATTTCCAGATACTAGGATGGCTAACTGATATCTGGCTTTCGAAGGCTCTGTGCCAACCCTCTACGGCGTTATTAGTTTTAGCTAACCCTGTGATAGCAGCATCGAAACAGTTCCACATAATATGAGAAAATTTAGGGGTTCGTCGCTTCTCTCTTCTGTCTGGACGACCTATCCATGTGTCCTCGAAATAATCGATAACCGGTAAGGCTTCATCTGGAAGTAGACCTGTGTCCTGTAACTTTTTAAATGCACATTCAACAAATTCAACTGGAACAAATGCTATGGCATTTAGCATCCTTATATGCAGAGCAAATTCTGCGTCTGTATCATATCGGTTTTTTAAGCCGGACGTTTGGATTTTTCTTTACAGACCTGGCAGAAATGAAAGCAAAATCCTCTTATTGTGCCTTCTGAAAAGGTTATGCACAATGCGTTCATCGCTGCCTTTTCAAAATCTATTAAAACTGTAGTTGGTGCAGCTGTGTGACAAAAGTTTTTGATCTCTTGTATCATTTTTGTATAAATACTCTCTGTTTTATCGGGAAGAAGTGTATACAGAAGCGGAATGGCGTAATTTTCTTTCAATCCGTGAATGGTGTATAATTGTGCAAACAGGTGGGGTACTGTTTTAAAAGTTTTTCTAGAATACTAAGAGACCTTTGTGTTCCAAAAACTAAAATTCTGAAATCGGTGGCTCCAGAGTCGAATTGATGAAAAATTTCTCCGTTGGTGGTTTGTTGGTAAGTGTCTGGAATAATAATATTCCGTCTGGATTGTAGAATAACAGATGCGCCGTCGTTTCTCTGCCTGATGTTTCGAATGGTCCTTCTTATGTTATTGATATCTGGCAAACGTCCTGCTGAATAACTACTCACTGCTGGTGAGAGAAGAAATTATGTATTGGAGCGTATCTTTTGTAGTTTTAGCACAGTCCCCCACTTTGTCTAAAAATTTGGTGACCTCAAGTCGGGCAGCGCCTCCACTATGATTGTGTTCTCCGGGTCCTTTCTGAATACCATCTCGGTCAGTTATAATGCTTGGAAGTGTTCACATTTCCAATATATTGTGTTGTCAACTTGTTTATCTTTGACAAACATAAAACCATTAATAACTAGTTTACGATTTACTTTTCCACTGAAAACTAACTTCATTTTTACATTTAAAGCAATACCAAAGCGAAACAGATACTACTGCAAAAAAAGTGTTGTCTTTTATTTATAGTAATTTAAACAGACTTTATTAGCACCTATTTTTCAAAACATCCTTATTAGGACACTTTATTAATTACTCATTTTCTATAATACCCTTAATACTGTTAATTGTTTTTTAGTGGCTAGACCGTAAGTCTGAGCTAATTTACAATTGATTTGAATTTTTGAATAGAAATTATTTTTCAAAACACCTTATTAGGGCACCAATATTGACCTGATTACTGGGAATAGTTATAGTAATTAATGTTGTGTTATTTTGAACTAATTAATAGACGTAAAACCTCAAACTGATATGATATACTATTATACTTAATATGGCGGTATACTCTTTAGTATGTTTATAAACGATGATATATGATATATTAGAATTTTATTATAGAGAAAAAAATATATCTTGATTGTTTTGGTCTTTACTTGATGAAAATCCTTAAGATATTTTTAAAAATTACTGAGGGTGTTCAAGTGTATAAGAGATAAGGGTAATTAATTACAAATTCTAATTTAATTACTCATTCTTTTCCCAGAAAATCTAACAGATCTTTTAATATTTTTATAATCATCTTTGTTTTTATATATTTAGATAGTTGTTTCGAAAGTATAAAGTCAAGTTAAGATTTGTTAGATTTTAAAGGGTATAAGAGGCAGAATATTTTGTCTGACATAGTAGACGGAGAACAAATTTACTATGGAACAGTTATTGGTAATGGATACCTTAGATTCGATTCAATCAATCTAAATTAAATCCCAATTATCACCTGGTAGATCTAATCGCAAAACAACCAGAGAATAACTTTTTAATATAAACCATTCACATGGTATTTAAACTTCAAATGTGAATCTATTCTTAAATTTAAAAATGTTACGTTTTTGTTTTACTAATATTTATAGTGATACAATATCCGGAAGTTTGCTTGAATTTTTAGTATACCTTATCGTCAGAAAATAGTGTCAAGTCAGCTGAAATATCAAAAAAAAAACGCTAGATAATTTACATAAGTTAAAAACGGCCCAAGAACTGAACCTTGAGAAACACCCCACTTAACATTCAGTAAAAGTAAATCTTTAGTCTTTCTTGCCTTGATTATAATTTATGAATTTAAACTATAGTAAAATTGAAGAATAAAATTTGATCCCATCGTACTTATTTCACTATTTTAGATGCCAATGTTTATATTTAAATTATTCATAAATAATTATTGCAATTTCAATATTAAGAGGATTTATGATTTTTTGTGCGTCAAATTCGAATGAGAATTGCTAAGAAAGTTGCAATTACTGCTGAACTAAGAGAAAAAAAAATACCTAACCAAAAAGCGTTTGTTTAAGATGGCCACCTTATACTTTTTCCATTGTAACCTCTGTATATGATTGCATTTCAGCAATATTTGACCTTAAAACAGTAAAACACTCATATAACATGTCCACGAATCGCACATTTAGATGCGCTTCTTGGTTAGGTATTCTTTGCCAACAATATCTAGTGTGAAATTGATAAATAATATGTTTTTTGTTTGCGTTAGCAGGCCTTCCCGGCAGGAATGGTACCGTACAAACGGCCAGCGGCAGACAAATCAGGCGTACCGGTGTACCAACCGAACGCAACCACCTACCAACAACTGATGCAGTTGCAACAGCCCTTCGTCCCCGTGTCATGTGAGTATTCCACCTCCCCCGCTCCTCCACCGACCTCTTCTTGCGCTTCGCCCACAGTTCCCGAGGCCTCCCAATCCCACGCCTCTTCCCCAGTGTCTCAGGCTTCTCAGATCTCTCAGATAACGCTTCATCAACAACAACAGCAACAACAACAACAACATCAACAGTCTTTACAACAATCAATACACCAGAGTAAGAAAGAAGCCGAGACAGTGACCCTAACAACCACCACAGCCGCTATGCCAGTAGCCTTGCCTTCTCAGCCCCAGATCCCAGATCCCGCTACGCTTGCTAAAGAGGTTGCCCAGCAAAACTATGCTAAAGCTATCAAACTAGCCGCTGTTAATCAGTCTATAGCCGCTTCGCAGTTCACTCACTTGAACCCGCTCAATTACACGGGCGTGTCATTGAACAAACAAGCACTCAATGCCGTTCAGCAACAAAACTCGCACTCAGCTTCGGCGGCCGCGCACGCTGCCGCGGCCGCGCAATTTCAGCGCTACCCGCAAGCGCTGCCTTTCCAATTCAACGCTACCGCAATGAATCTGGGCTTGGCGAATCCCTATCAAGCGATCGCTCAGCAGAATCTGCTTAACATGAGCCGCCATCAGCCTCAAATGCAATTGAATCCGTACCACCATTTAATCAGACAGCAACCGTACTCGACTAACGCTGGTGCCACCGCGAATCATCATCAGTTGTACGCGAACAGCTTGTTGAACGCGCATCAGTACCCGGTGACCGTGTCCGCACCGCCGATGACGAATAACACGCAGGCGCAAGCCAATATGGCGGCCGCGGCCGCGCAGAACAACAATAACAACGTTGTTCTGCAGCCGTACAAAAAGCTGAAAACGAATTAATCATTTTTTAAAATTTTGTTACTTCGTTTAATTTTGTTACGTTGATTTTTTTGTCTTAATATTTTATATATCGGTGGACCAGATTTTTCGTGAAGAAAAAAAGAAAATGTTTTGAATGTTTTTAGGTTTAGTGATTTTTTTATTTTTAATAACCGATCTGTATCGATTTTAAATTGATTTCGATCGGATTATTTTTTTGTGTTATCGTGTATTAAAGTTTTAGTTTCATAACAGACGTTTTTTAAATATCGAGTTTTAGAGTGTAATAAAAAAAAACAATGTTTTCGTTATATATAAATATTAAAAGTCGTGTAATAAAGTTTTGTCATAGAACGTATTCAAGGTGGCAATGAACATTCGACCCGATGAGATATTTTTAAGCTCGTGTGGGCGAAAAGAAAGTAATATCTAAACCCGTAATTTCCAATAGTAGAAGAGGCGGAGAGCTTATATCGCTAAGTTTAGATTTTCGTTGACATTTTATAGATACAATTGTTTAAATAGTAGTATAAATTGTAATAGTTGATTTCTACTTTTAAGTGGCATAGGTTGTCAAAAAATGAGTTAGTAATATTTTACAAAAAATGATCAATATATGTTTCAAAAGTAATATTAAAAAAAAGTTTTCTATTTAAACATTTTTAAAATTTCATGGTCGTATATAATACAAAATTATATTAGCAACCTAATCTAGTTATCTGCTAAAGAGTCCCAGTGGTCTTTTAATAGGGTCTTCTAATATACTGTCAGGCGAGCCTTTTCAACCAGTCTGACCCTGATCTTTGTTCCATTTTCTTTATCTTCTTTTCCATCCCTCTTATTTTCTCCTCAACGGAAGACATTATTTTCTTTTCAGCTAAAGTTATCTTTTTTTCCATAGAAGACATTTCAGTTGACACTCTTCTTCTAAGGAAGAGCCTATATTTTCTAAGGAAGAAACTTAATTATCTAAGGAAGAAATGTCAGATAAAACTTTAGTTTCTAAGGAAAAAACTTTATTATCTAATGAAGAAACATCAGAAGACATTTGTTGAGATCTGATGTAAGTCATGGTTCTGTATATACGACCGAGCGTCTACTATATTTCTAAAAACCCTATTTTGAAATTTTTATGTTTTCTACATTGGTCTTATTTGCATAGCCCCATAGTTGGATCCCGTAAAACCATACATGGCTTATTACTTGTGTGTACAATAGTACCTTATTATGTATGGTTAATTGGGATTTTGTTCCTATTAGGCAATACATTTTTTTTTGTATTTTATAAGCAGCTTCTTTTTTTTCTTTTTTATATGTTCCTTGCACTTCAGCTTAGCATCTAGGTGCATTCTTAGGTATTTTACGTTTCTTGTATCTGGATTTTATTTAGGAAGTCGATGTTGCTTTTTGAAGTGTTTTCAGTGTAGTGCTTTTCTTCTAATACAGCAGTATCATTGGTAAATGTGTACATCTATATAATCAAGTAAATAACTGGCCCTAGTACGCTCCTGGAATTCTCTTATAGTCGAATACTCTTCTTCTTGTTGCATGCTAAAAGCCTAATGATATGATATTGGTAGGTTCTGAAGAATATTTTCTGAAAACAGTCATAACTGTGATTCATTTCTTGTTGGCAGAATACATTTGGAAAGTTTTTGGTACATTTTGTATTTTTTAACGCGCGACGCTCATAGGCGTCGTCAGCATTGGATCATTAAGGTTTCTTCTATACCTAAGTGACGCACATGTGCGTATTTAATTTTTAAATTGCAGAAAGTAATTATTGTCAAAAGAAACAATTACTGGAAATTTGAATAGAAAACTTTATTACAAAGAATATAATAATTACAAGTTCTGATCATTATGGAACTGTACAAAACAATTTCCAACACAAAGGCCAGGTTTTTCAGGACACACGCCATACTCAAATATGGTGTTTCTTCTTATCTTATCCGACGTCTATTAACATTTGAAATTTTTGAAATGTTATGTTTGTCTGATGTTTGGTGTTGTAGTTTATTTTTTGGAGTACCCAATAATGTTTTGTAAAAGATAAAAATTTAATAACAAAACTAAAAATATGTGAACATCTATTTTTTTATACCAACCCACTGTATTTCGTTCATATGGATAGTAACAGCACAGCATAGCAACAGCACTCATAAATTCAGTATTTTCTTTTCTTTGTTTTTCAGTTTCGATTAGATTATTATTAATATCCGTAGAAATGTACATAACTTCTCGTTTATCTTTCCAATTTTCTACTAAAATGCCATCTTTGTATTGTCCTACTGTCTGCCCCTTTGTACTTAGAGGAAAGGTGACTGAGAACTGCTTGATAAATTGGATAACAGTTACTTTCCTCTTCAATCTTTTCCAAAATGTAAACTTTTATACGCAAGGGTAATTATGCCAAACATTAGAAGGTACAGGTATCTTAAAAACTCACATGTGCGTCATCAGCATTTGACTGCAACACTATTTTGACGCTCATAGGCGTGATTAGCATGCAACGTGTTAAAGTTTTTCCTGTTATGTATGATTTCATAATTTAGACAATTTTTTTTTGTATTTTATATAATAAGCCTTCATTCTACACCTTGTCAAAAGCTTGAGCTATGTCTTGGAAAATTGCAGAGCATAATGTTTTTATTTTCATAAACCCTTTATACAGGGTGTCCCGAAATTAGACGGTCGTATTTTAACAGCGTCATCTACATTCTAAAATAGGAATAAATGTTCATATAAACATAAGTCCGAACACATTTTGTTTTCGAAATACAGGATGTTAAAAGTAAAATCTTGATGACACACTTTTGTAAATATTTTCTAAACATTTAAAGATAACTAAGTAAAATTTGGTACAAATGCAAAATTTTTATGCTCTATTTAATGTACTAAACCCTAGTTTTTGATCATCTTCATAGGTGGGTAAATTAGGGGGTTGGTTTTCCAAATTTTGTAATCAAAAATGTTAAAACCTGTAAACAAATTTTTTTTATCCTAAGCCCCTAATTTACCCACCTATGAAGATGTTCATAAACTGGAGTTTAGTTTATTAAATAGAGCAGAGAAAATTTAGAATTTGTACCAAATTTCACTTAGTTATCTTTAAACGTTTAGAAAATATTTACAAAAATGTGTCATCAGGACTTCATTTTTAACACTCTGAATCTCAAAAACGAAACGTTTTCGGACCTATATTTATATGAACTTTTATTCCTATTTTAGAAAGTAGATTTCGGTGTTAAAATATGACCGTCTAATTTCGGGACCCCCCTGTATAATGTCAGTTTCGTTCTATTCAGCAGATTTTTTTCGAATAATTTTGGGAGTGTTAAATTGAAATAGCTCTAGAGGAAGCTACTTTTCCTGATTTGCCTGGTTTATGCACCTCTCATAATTAATTTTTCGACCATTTTGCATATGTCTGGAATATGTCAGATATTCCAATATTACTAGTCCTTTTTTTTTTGAGCAATGCTCCTGTTATTAGCTCAAAACTCGGAGTCTTTTATGGGTTAATATTATCTTTGACCTCTTAAGCTATTTCTTGTGTAAACATACCAGGTTGAGCAAATTACTCGAATTTACTATATAGTTCAAAAATCGGTAAAAGAATCAATTTTTAGACATATAAAACCAAGATAAATAAATATTTATATAATTTTGTGTCATGTCTAACAGGATACAAAGAAAAACATATTTTTTTTTATGACTTTACGGAGAATTTTTACTTTTAAAACGTTTTTCCTAATAACTTACTTATCTACTGAACAATTTTTGGACAACTTATGTCATTTAGGACTAGAATTCATGAACTACAATTTCCACTAGGTACTCAAAACAATTTTATCTATAAAATGCCATCGGAATAATCCTGAAAAATTCTACTGAAACTAAATAACGGATAATTACTGTGAAGATAGTTTTAGCGCATTCGTAGCATTTTTCGTAGTTCCTAGTACTCCATTTTGTACAAATGAAAAAAATCAATTGAACAATCAGTGTTATATTTGATAATAATGTATCAATCGCTACGTCTGCTAAACAGCTTGATTGTTACTTTGAATACGAGTATCAAAAAATGTATCTAGTCAAAAAAAAAAACAAATTCTTTGTAAATTTTATCGAACTAAAAAAATATTTAACTGGGCAATGCTCTAAGCTACACCCGGACCAAAGCGAGTGCCTCAATACTGTGATACCTCTCACACCTGCTATTGCACCGCTAAATTAACATCCTTTACCCCCTTCTTACTACTCCCCCTACCTTCAACCCCCCAGTATCGCTCTAATATGTAATTAGGACATTAATATTTTTGGTGGTTAAGACTAGAACTATTTTGCCATTATTTCCCAAAAAACAAAAAAGACAAAATATGGAAATGTTTATATATTGTTATCTAGAAATTTTGCATGACATTTTGGATATACCTATTTCATTTTTTTGAGAGCCTATACTTGAGTCGCATGGTAGACATTTTATATGCGTTGTATCTGTTAGAAAAGTGCCATCCAATTAGTAGAATATGTTACTGACCCAAAAAGACACGCCAGGTTTGTACATAGATGATAGAGAGGGCGATGGCGCGCGATGTCCTGTGATTCTAACCTCACTTTCTTTTACGACAACAAGCTTATGGAATATAATGCAATTTTACTAAAAAAATGAACTTTGAAAGTATTGGACATTTTTGTAATATCGTACATTGTATGACAAAAAAGAAATTTGATTAATTCGTGGAGTCAATTAAATAACATTGAATGAACTAAAGCAAATGAAAATTAAATGGTGAATGCGTTGGTCTTAGAAAAACTGGCATCCTAGGCATTAAAAAAGTGTTCTCTAGATACTGTTTCATCACTACAGTTGTTTTATCAATGTATACAGGGTGGGCCACTTAAAAGTTCCACCCCCCTTTATTCTAGTTATAATTCTCGGAATAATTTTTTTTATGTTTGAAAGAGTGGAACAAATATTTTTTTATAAAGGATTCAATTATTCTGTGACATCACGGCTTATTTCCGGTTTTTCCGGAAGTAACAGAAAATCGCAATGTATTTTTATTTTTAAATTGAAACCCACTTTTTAATTGTAAATTTGAATTTCTGGGACATTTTTGTATAATAATCGTGTATTGAAATTTTTCTGGCAGCTGTCAAAATGGCCGCCATATTGGATAATATTTTTTCTAAACAGTTACTATTAGTTCGTTTATGGAAAAAAATTAGGAATGTATGATCTTTATAAAATCTTTGAGGGCTTTTAAATTCTCATTGAGACCCATTTACCGTATACCAGTGGCGTATGTAAGCATTTTTATTATTAACAAACCGTTTAATAATTCCATCTTTTTTTATCTTCGTTATTAAGATATCGGAATAAAAACTTTTTTTGTTTAATAGCTTATAATAGATACTTTCATATACTGGATTCAATCACTCTGTAACGTCATGGCTTACTTCCGATTTTTCCGGATATAACTGAAAATCGCAATTCATTTTTTAATTTAAAATCAAAACCTCTCCTTTATTGAAAATTTGAATTTCTGGGACATTTTTGGAT